TGGCAGTTATGCAATGATGTAGTTGGCAGTTATGTAATGATGTCATTTGGCAGTTACGTAATGAGGTAGTCATCCTCCATTTTGTGATCTGATGTTAGCAGCCATCAGTTGAAAAGGGAGTTTCCTTGGGGGCGTTGCCTGCATCCAATATATATGGGTGTTCTGGCAAAGATCGTGTACTCTGGATCCTGCATCCAACTCATCATCCTCTGACCTGTGGTTCTTGGGATGTGAGCCAGCAGCTTACCACCTGACTGCAGATCTTGGGATTCTCCAGCTCCTGCAACCCTGTGAGCCAGTAGGCTTTCTCCTGACCTGCCGATTTTGGGTTTGTCAGCTCCTGCCACCGTGTAAGTCAGGAGCAGCCTCCAGCCTGATGTCTGACTCACGGATTTGGGACTTGCCAGCCTCTGCAACTGTGTGAGCCATTTTCTTGAAAATAAATCTCTATGTAATTCTTCACTGGTTTTGTTCCTCTAGAGAACCCAGTCTAAGGCAGTGACCTCATGTGACAAAGTAGAACTGCCCCATAGGGTTTTCTTGGCTGTAAATCTTTATGGAAGCAGACTGCCAGGTCTTTCTCCTGCAGAACTTCTGGGTGGGCTCTCTTTCTCTCTCTCTTTCTCTGATAGAGATGAAGTCCTTCAACATCAAGAATTTAAAAATTTTTGAATGAAAAACTAGTGTGTACTGTAAACTTTCACCTAAAACAATAGAATTTAAAAAAAAATAAAGAAATCTCAGCGCTATTACTTTCCAAGTTCATACATCCATGGAGAGACTAATGCACTCTAGAGGCAGTTACCAAAAGACGTCATAATTGGAAGTAGGGTGGTGATATTACATTTTGATATATGACACAGCTTCTATAGCAATAAAAGAAAAGCATTTGTGTTCTTGTTTTAGGACTCTCTACTATAATGTTTTTTTTTAAAAAATATGTTCCTCACAATATTAGTCTTTTGATATATTCTGTGAACAAAGGATATCATTCTCAAATAATTTTGAGAAATGCTGCAAATTATGCCTCGTTCTTGGAGAGACGTAATATAAAGTATATATTAAAGGCTTTTAAAAAGACTGGTTAACCTTGATTAACCTTGTTTCCCAATTATACTTGTCCTTGAAATAGTCTTTTTCATAGGACAACTATAAATATCCCAAAGAAAGAGCCTCCCATGGAAAATATTTTAGAACATACTGTTCTAAGATATTTTTTTGACTACAAAATCTGAAGGATCAGTTTTGACTCCACCTTTAGGGTGAGGTATTTATAATACTTTCTTTCTGGTTTGTAAATGATCCAGTTGCCTGTGATTTAAGGGCTGGGGCACAGTGGAGGGACAGGTCTGCTTCTCTGTCCAGGATTTTATGTGGCAGTGGAACAGAATGCAGGTGACAGGAGGTTGGTAGTATGGGGGCATGTCATCATATTCCAGGTGCTGGAAAAGTGGAAGCAGAGTCTAAATATGCATTTACGAAATCTCAGAATCCATTCCTGCTGCAGCATTCTTTCTTCCGTATTGCAATTGCTTTGTCCTTTAAATCTTTCTTGAAAAAGTGTTCTGGCTCCTATGGACTGGGCTCATTTTTCTTATGATGATTTAGAACTCTATCCTAAATCCTCCAACCATACTTGGAATTACATAATTCATTTCCATAATGTTGTATAACACACTCCCCCACCCCACCCCCTGTGGAACTGTATTAAAATCCACTGTCGTCGAGTTGATTCCGTTTCATAGCAACCCTACAGGCCAGAGTAGAACTGTCCCATGGGATTTCCAAGGCTGTTTATCTTTATGGAAGCAGACTGCCACATCTTTCTCCCACGGAGCAACTGGAGGGTTGGAACCGCCAACCTTTCAGTTAGCAGCCAAGCATTTAACCACTTCACCACCAGGGCTCCTTGTGGAACTATATTAAAACAATAAAATAATTATGGCTTAAATTCTTTGGCATCCTCGTTCCAACACTGAGTTTCAATGATCAGGGAGTAACCAAATGCATGATAAAATTTATTAGAATAAATCTAAGTGCTTTATTTGCACTCTCATATTGAATGGTGCCATAGCTATAATCATGTATTCAATAAATGTTCACTGAGTAAGTGATGCATAAATCACTCTTGATCTCTTTTACACTGACAAAGAGGTATAGTGGATCATTAGGGGTAACTATATATGGGGTAACTATATATGGGGTAACTTATGTATCTATTTATTCATACATCTCTATATACTTATAAGCTAAATAATCTGCAATTACAAAATGTGATTGTGATAAAACTATTAATCATTGTGAAAAATGTCCTCGTGGCAATAAATTAAAATCCGGAAATGTCTAATAAAACCATGTGTCTGTCTCTCTACAGAGCCATCTAAACTATTCTAACATTAAAAAAAAAAACAAAAACAAAAACAAACAAAAAACACCATAACATTAGATTTGGACAATCGTAACGCTCAATAAAAATGTTTAGTGAAAGTAGGGAGGAAGGCTTAGCCTGAAACAGCATGCAAATGGATTTATACAACAAAAGCCAAATATCTTCATATGAAAGAAGTCAACACATTAGTAGAAAAGTAGTCCAAGAGAAAAAACCCCTGTCTTTACTACTAGCATCTTGTAAATTCAAATCCATGAGAAAGGGGGCTCAGTAATTACAGGAATTTTTGAAGAAAGGGTCAAAAGTTCCCAGAAATCTATGAAAAGAAGATAAACATTTAGACTCATATTTGGACCTTGAGTTTTGATCACTGCTAAAACCAGAAGGCCAAATGAAGAATATTTTCCAAAAGCAAACCAATATTGCTCACCCTTCTCCTTCCATTAGGGAAAGGTATTAACTGGGCAAGCGTGTTGCTCCTTCTTAGAGTACCTGTTGGTTTAATGGCTACTAAGTCTATTGGTCTAATGGCTCAATAAGAAAAAAAAGAAAAAGAAAAAGAAACAATCACTTTTTATAATCCTTCCCATGGTTAGGATTTATTTATGACGAAGAAATTAGTAGTCTGAGATGTGGAGAAATGGGGCCGATTTCAGAAGGAATCAAGTGAATAAGAGTATGTGCAAAAGTTCCAAAAGGAAAACCAGCATAAAACTCAGAAATGCTAATCTGTTGGGTAGAGTTTTTAACTAGAGGTTTTTATCTAACCCCAGCTGGAAGACACTAACATGGAAAATCTAATATAGACAATGTTAGAATATGAAAAACTTTGGGAATTATCTGGGTACACTTGCCACATTGCTCTCATTAATGATAATGACTTTTAGGCAGAGTCTGAAATACAAAATTATCAGCCATTGTAGAGGGGTAACAAAGTAAAAGGTATAGGTTACTTTGCCCATTAAATATCTTCCAGAAGGGTCAAAGCTGACTAATCAGAGTTCTGTGACTATTTTGTAGACTGTCATGAATCAGTTTTACCTGTAATAGCTCTAGAGGATTAAATATTTGGGGACTAGACAGCCACAGGCTTCTTCTAAATGTCTGCTGATTTTCTGCGTCTTTGTGACTACATCATTGCTATACTTTGCCTTGTTTTAAGTTAGTAGGACAAACAGCAGCACTTTTGAGTTATTCTGAGACTCATGTCAGTCCTAGTGATACTTTATATTGTATGACCCAAGGTAACTGGTGAAATTAGACTGTTCCTCTTTTATATTCCCTCTGAAGAAAGCTATGTTAGTTTCCAGGTACACGGTAGAACTTGAGTGAACGTGGCACAGGGTTTGGAACAGGGCTGGTGTTACCAACGGCGCTCAGAGATTCCTAGCTGGTGAACGACAGCTGCAGTTGTTGCTGCTAGGTGCTGTCGAGTCCATTTTCAACTCATAGTGACCCCATGTGACTGACTAGAACTATTCCATAGCGTTTATTCTGCCTACCACATACACAGTAGCTAACTAAAACAAGACATGCTAGAAGTGGTGAGAATGAACATTTCTCAGGATGAATCCTCAAGCAACGAAGGCTGGGTGTTTTGTTGTTGGGTGCCACTGAGTCGATTCTGACTCACAGCTACCTCAGGTGACAGAGGACAACTGCCCCAGAGGGTTTTCTAGGCTGTAATCTTTTTGGGAGTAGATCGCCAGGTCTTTTCTCCCAGAAAGCCATTGGGTGGGCTCGAACTGCCAACCTTTCAGTTAGCAGCCAAGTGCTTAACCATTGCTCCACCAGGGCTCCTTGAGGGATAGCTACATGCGTTCAGTTGTCCTAAAATGAAAAGCAAAGTATACATTTAAAAAATGTGAGCTCAATGAACGCGTGGATGGATGTCATCATATCTCTTGGACCTTTGTAGTATTATGATTAAATACCACAGTTGGCTATTGTATGCCTATGACATGCCCAACATGATGCCAGTCCACTTGCAAGTATCTGGAAGACCTTTTCTATGCAGTATTCATGAAACAGTGCTCAAAGAAGATAACAACACACGCAATGAAACACACATGGGAAGAGAGAGGGAACCAAATTGGTGGTAAAAAATGACCTTCCTCCCTAAGGTCAAATAGTTTTATTTTGATGAAACACTACAATACAGTATATATCCATTAAAAAAGAAAACTCTATAGTGTATATAAATTATTCGTTCCATTCATCAATTCTTTTCTTTTCCCATTACAGCTTTGGTAGAATGTGATTTCGGCATATAATTTTTAAATACTTCTTAGCATCACAAACTAAACACAAAGTACAAAACTAATCCAAATTAGGGAGAGTAGAGTCTACACAGTGGTATTTAGTGGTAGGAAAAAATCTTACCTTGATGAATTCATGTCACTAGCTAAGCTCTCAAGGCATACCTAGCAGACATGATAGAAATATGCACCATGAACCAGCTAACGTGTGTATTAGTCTGTTTTTTTAGAATACCAGCAGCAACCCTTTGAGCGTTGAGAGAATACTTGAGTCCTCAGCCAGTTTTCAAATCGCTCCTCTTCCCTTAAAGGCCATGAGTAGCATCTGAAGAAACGGACCACATCCCGAGCTCTCAGAATTTGACCTGCCATCCGGCATTGCTCATACTGGCACAGTTTGCCCTGCAGCTAGCCGACATCACGGGGACAGTGCTGGAGGGGCAGTGGGGGCCGATCAACCGCAGGTTGTTCTGAGGGGTCGGCGGTGTGACGTTACAGTAAACAGGCACTGCAGTGGCCGGGAGTGACCCCTGACCTGCCTGGGTAGGTAGCATGATTGGCTGTTGGTATGACTGCTGGGGTAGTCCTTGAGAACCCTGGGTCATTGGCACCTGTAGGAAAACACAAGAGAGAACCCTGCATGAAGGGGCTATGTTTGGGTGCACCATGAGCCACTGTGATGTCATGAAAAACCCTGCAAGCTTTCGAGTTAGATCTAACAGGCCACCAATCCCAACCATGCCGTGTATCAGCTGTTTCACATTGGGAAAGTCACTTAACTTCTCATCTAGACTTTTTGGATAATGACACGAAATTGCAAATACTGTTGAAAGTGTCACAGAGATAACTCACAGTGGCTGGTACAATGCCTGGAGCCCTGGTGGTGCAGTGGTTAAGAACTACAGCGAGCTATGGCTGCTACCCAAAAGGTCAGCAGTTCGAATCCACAAGGCGCTCCCTGGAAACCCTATGGGGGCAGTTCTACTCTGTCCTTACAGGGTCACTATGAGTCGGAATTGACTCGACAGCAGTCAGTTTGATTTTTTGGTTTTGGTACAATGCCTGAAATGCAGTAGCTACTCAGAAGGTGTTAGCTTAGCTTCCTTCCCTCCTCTCTCTTGATACCCTCCAGGGTCTGCAGTCTAGATCTCCCACTCTGGGTTTCTCTCAGTTTTGAAAATCATGCTCCCATTCTGGTTTTACACAAACAAGGGGACCTGTAGCCTTCCATTGTAAGAGGGTCTTCTGTTCCAGGCATTCACCAATATTTGTTCACATCTGGAGCTTTTAGAGAACGTCTGATTGGGAGCTCAAGGTAGAAACTGATATAATGTGAATAAGGATAGATCAGGGTCTAAGAGGACCTATGGCAGATTTTTTAGGGTCAGAAGTACCTGGTACAACTAAATTTAATGATAAAAGCATTTCACTAACCCTTCACTTCCACTCCACAGTGTTCCTGGATACAAATTGCAAAAAGGTGCATAACACTTTCTAAACACTCAACTTGGATTTAATGTTGGAAAATGCAATTGTTAATCCCCATAAAGACCCTTTAAATAAATCTGAGATGCCACTTAAAAAAAAAAAAAAAAAACTCTTATAACTGAAAATTACAGTAAAACAAAGTTTCTTTGAGAGTGTACAAAAATGTACCCCTGTAGGGGAGTTTCTCATGAGGGTCTTTCCACCAACAAGCAAAATATCAACAGCATGCCCAAAGGTCCTCATGGGTATAAGTTTAGACTGAAGAATTTTCTTCCATGAATACGAAGTTTATATGTTGTTGTTGTTGGTAGGTGCCGTCAAGTCGGTTACAACTCATAGCGACCCTGTGCATCACAAAACGAAACACTGCCCGGTCCTGCGCCGTGCTCACAATCGTTGTTATGCTTGAGCTCATTGCTGCAGCCACTGTGTCAATCCATCCATTGAGGGTCTTCCTCTTTTTCGCTGACCCTCTACTTTATCATGCATGATGTCCTTCTCCAGGGACTGGTCCCTCCTGACATGTTCAAAGTATGTAAGACGTAGTCTCTCCATCCTTGCTTCTAAGGAGCATTCTGGTTGTACTTCTTCCAAGACAGATTTATTTGTTCCTTTGACAGTCCATGGTATATTCAATATTCTTTGCTAACACCACAATTCAGAGGCATCAATTCCTCTTTGGTCTTCCAGCTTTCCCAAGCATATGAGGCGATTGAAAATACCATGGCATGGGTCAGGCGCATCTTAGTCTTCAAGGTGATTATCTTTGCTTTTCGACACTTTAAGGAGGTCTTTTGCACCAGACTTGCCCAATGCAATGCGTCTTTTGATTTCTTGACTGCTGCTTCCATGGGTGTTGATTGTGGATCCAAATAAAATGAAATCCTTGACAACTTCAGTCTTTTCTCCGTTTATCATGATGTTGCTTATTTGTCCAGTTGTGAGGATTTTTGTTTTCCTTATGTTGATGTGTAAGGCTGTGGTCTTTGATCTTCATCAGTAAGTGCTTCAAGTCCTCTTCACTTTCAGCAAGCAAGGTTGTGCCATCTGTATAATGCAGGTTGTTAATGAGTCTTCCTCCAATCCTGATGCCTTGTTCTTCTTCATATAGTCCAGCTTCTCAGATTATTTGCTCAGGATACAGATTGAATAGGTATGGTGAACGGATACAACCCTGACACACACCTTTCCTGACTTTATCCCCTTGTTCTGTCCGAACAACTGCCTCTTGATCTGTGTACAGGTTCCTCATGAGCACAACTGTTTTGGAATTCCCATTCTTTGCAATGTTATCCATAATTTGTTATGATCCATAGAGTCGAATACCTTTGCATAGTCAACAAAACACAGGTAAACATCTTTCTGGTATTCTGTGTTTTTAGCCAAGATCCACCTGACATCAGCAATGATATCCCTGGTTCCATGTCTTCTTCTGAATCTGGCCTGAATTTCTGCCAGTTCCCTATCAATATACTGCTGCAGCCACTTTTGAATGATCTTCACCAAAATTTTACTTGTGTGTGATATTAATGATATTGTTCAATACTTTCCGAATTCGGTGGCATCACCTTTCTTGGGAATAGGCATAAATATGGATGTCCTCCAGTCGGCTGGCCAGGTAGCTGTCTTCCAAATGTCTTGGCATAGACAAATGAGCACTTCCAGTGCTGCATCTGTTTGTTGAAACATCTCAACTGATATTCCATCAGTTCCTGGAGCCTTGTTTTCCGCCAATGACTTCAGTGCAGCTTGGACTTCCTCCTTCAGTACTATTGGTTTCTGATCATATGCTACCTCTTGAAATGGATGAATTGCAACCAATTTTTTCTGATATAATGACTCTGTGTATTTCTTCCATCTTCTTTTGATGCTTCCTTAGTCTTTTAATACTTTCCTTATAGAATCCTTCACTCTTGCAACGGCTTGAATTTTTTCTTCAGTTCTATCAGCTTGAGAAATGCCGAGCGTGTTCTTCTCTTTTGGTTTTCTATTTCCAGCTCTTTGCACATGTCATTACAATACTTTAGTTCGTCTTCTCAAGCCACCCTTTGAAATCTTCTGTTCAGTTCTTTTAATTCATCATTTCTTCCTTTTGCTTTAGCTACTCGACATTCAAGAGCAAGTTTCAGAGTCTCTTCTGACATCCATTTTGGTCTTTTCTTTCTTTCCTGTCTTTTTAATGACCTCTTGCTTTTTTCACGTATGATGTTCTCGATGTCATTCCACAACTTGTCTGGTCTTTGGTCATTAGTGTTCAACGCGCCAAATCTGTTCTTGAGATGGTCTCTAAATTCAGGTGGGATATACTCAAGGTCATACTTGGGCTCTTGTGGTCCTGTTCTAATTTTCTTCGGTTTCAACTTGAACTTGCATATGAGCAATTGATGGTCTGTTCCACAGTTGGCCTCTGGCCTTGTTCTGACTGACGATATTGAGCTTTTCCATCGTCTCTTTCCACAGATGTAGTTAATTTGATCCCTCTGTATTCCATCTGGCGAGGTCCGTGTGTGTAGTCGTGTTTATGTTGGTGAAAAAAGGTATTTGCAATGAAGTTGTTGGTCATGCAAAATTCTATCATGAGATCTCTGGCATCATTTCCATCATCAAGGCCATGTTTTCCAACTACCGATCCTTCTTCATTTCCAACTCTTGCATTCCAATCACCAGTAATTATCAATACATCCTGATTGCATGACAGGTCAATTTCAGACTGCAGAATCTGGTAAAAATCTTCAGTTTCTTCATCTTTGGCCTTAGTGGTTGGTGCATAAATTTGAATAATATTCGTATTAACTGGTCTTCCTTGTAGACATATGGATATTATCCTATTACTGACAGCGTTGTACTTCAGGATAGATCTTGAAATGTTCTTCTTGACAATGAATGCAACGCCATTCCTCTTCAAGTTGTCCTTCCTGGCATAGTAGACCATATGACTGTCTGATTCAAAATGGCCAACACCAGTCCATTTCAGCTCACTAATGCCTAGGATATTGACGTTTATGCATTCCATTTCATTTTTGATGATTTCCAATTTTCCTAGATTCATACTTCGTACATTCCACGTTCTGATTATTAATGGATGTTTGCAGCTGTTTCTTCTCATTTTGAGTTATGCCACATCAGCAAATGAAGGTCCCAAAAGCTTGACTCCATCCATATCATCAAGGTCGACTCTACTTTGAGAGGCAACTCTTCTCCAGTCGTCTTTTGAGTGCCTTCCAACCCGGGGGGCTCATCTACCGGCACTGTATCAGACAGCGTTCTGCTGCTATTCATAAGGTTTTCACTGGATAATTCTTTTCAGAAGTAGACCACCGGGTCCTTCTTCCTAGTCTGTCTTAGTCTGGAAGCTCAGCTGAAACCTGTCTGCCATGGGTGATCCTGCTGGGTATCTGAATACCGGTGACATAGCTTCCAACATCACAGCAACAAGCAAGCCCGCACAGTACAACAAACTGACAGACACATGGGGGGTGGGGGGAGTTTATATGGAGACAAACTAAACAGGACATTCAAAAATCATAGTAGCTATAGAAGCATAGCTCTCCCATTTTCTACTTTTCTGTTATAATCTTGATTCAAAGTCAACCATCGACAGTGGCTGTATTGAGACCCACCAACCAGCCAACCACCCAGCCCAGGCACATACCCATACCCTTTACTTTGGCAAGTGCTATTTTATAACCCACAATTTTCCCAGCACCTGATAAGAAGACAGTGTTGGGTAGGAGACCATCACGCTTTGCACTGGAGTTCCTTGTTGGTTGCTCAACATGTTCTGACTCTGAGGCACCTGCTGCACTCCGATTAGGCCTTGGAACCCCTGTTGGCCAGACAAGACTGGCTGGTAGCCTGGGAAGAAAAACGACCTTCTGAACTGGTTGAGCCAGGAAGAACATACATGATGTTTCATGGCGTAAGGGCACTGGTTCACAAGGCAACCTTCAGACATCTCAGTCTTCATCTCAGGAATATGCTATCCACAACTGGTTATTTCCTATGAATGCATTTTACTTTTACGAGTGGACAGAAAATCATGGCTCCGAAAAATTCACTGTCATTTCCACTCTTATGCAGAATTGTCCAATGAGCATGTTGCGAAAATAGTAAATTCCTCAGATCACACTGACAGAAGCCTCTATTGATACCATTTTGCCTGCTATAAATTAAACCTGTAATATTTGACTTTTTCTTTGGTTTTGATTATATTTGGAGAGTTTACAGATTATCATTTTTTTTTTAAATTAAATTGACTAGTTCCCCTATTCTCCAACCTTCCTGCACTACCTCATTCCACACAAAGACCACCAAACAGCCTATTGATGACGGATGGTTTCTATTTTTTTTTTAATGTCCTACTGAACAAAATGAGCTACTACTCTGAGTAATTCACTGTCTACTGCCTTAGACTAAAGGAGACAGCAAGTGAAAGGTATAGTGTGCTTTTATTCTATTTCACCAATAGCTCCCAAGAGAACATGATGGTAAAACACTCCAATAAATCACCATGTACATCTAACAGCTATCACAGAATACAACGTTTTTAAAAAATATCTGTGTGCATGCTACGTGGGTCAGTTGGGTGGCTTGCTTTCCTTTCTTTTTTAAGTAAACCAGAATTTATTTATTGTAATTATTTTAATCCACACTACACGCAATGCAAAATGCATTCTTAAAGTAAGACTATGAACTATTCCTACAGCTGCTGGGAAGAAAATCATGATTTAGGTGAAAATGACATGGGGTAGAGAAATGACACAGATTCACTTAATGCTGTAAAATAAGGTCCTTCCAGAGCTCATATTATTAACCATGCTGAGTACCTGAGAATATGTGGAACTGCCTTAACATAACTCTCTGAGAGAGAAAAATTCTTAAAAATTTAGATTTTCTTAATGCAAACACTAGCTAATTTTTTCAACCAGATCTTTTAAATTTAAACAAAAGGGGAAAAAAAAACTAATATACATTGTTAAAAAATAACCTATATTTTGAAAGCATGTGAGAGTTTTCTTTTTAATTCTTTTTTTTACTGTACGTTAGATGAAGGTTTACAGAGCAAATTATTTTCTCATTAAACAATTAATACACATATTGTTTTGTGACATTGGTTGCCAATCCCATGACATGTCAACACTCTCCCCTTCTCAACCTTGGGTTCCCTGTTACCAGTTTTCCTGCCCCGCTTGCCTTCTCATCCTTGCCCTTGGCCTGGTGTGCCCCTTTAGCCTTGTTTTGTTTTATGGGTCTGTCTAATCTTTGGCTGAAGGGTGAACCTCAGGAGTGACTTCAGTACTGAGTTAAAAGGTGTCTGGGGACCATACTCTCACAGTTTCTCCAGCCTCTGTCAGACCAGTAAGTCTGGTCTTTTTTTGTGAGTTAGAATTTTGTTCTACATTTTTCTCCAGCTCTGTCTGTGACCCTCTGCTGTGATCCCTGTCAGAGCAGTCGGCGGTGGTAGCCAGGTACCATCTGGTTGAGCTGGACTCAGTCTGGTGGAGGCCGTGGTAGTCGTGGTCCTTTGGACTAATCTTGCATGTGAGAGTTTTAACTTTATATTGAGAAAGAGCTAAATGATAAATAAATCCTTACAGAAGACAATAATTTGCTATCATTTGTGTACAAACCTACAAACAATATACCTTTACTCATGTCAGAAATAATGTGGAAAAACAGCTTCAGCTTGCAAATAAATAGTCATTGAGTTAGGAAATGAGTTCAATTAATCAAACAAGATTAAAGTAAGATGCAGTGAGTTTGAAACACCGGAGAAAGCAAGGCTGGGAGCAGCCAGGTTGGAAGGTCTGACCTGAGAGAGCAAGGCTGGGAGCGGCCAGGTTGGAAGGCCCGACCTGAGAG